CCCTCTGCAAGTTTCCCTTCTAAGAGCACAGCAGGACCATCATTTACCTGATTAATCCACCCAGAAACCTGGGCCTTACTCCATCCTACCTTCACAGACAGCATTCATCCTTTCCTATTTACCATCTAAACATGCCCTCAGTCTGTTCACTTTTACCCACTGACTGTCCCACCACTCAAGTGGAAGCCACCAACACTGCCCACCTGGACTCACAAGTCTCCCATGTGGCCCCACAGCCACTCTCCCCTACTTGAGACAAATGGGATTGTGACAGTCCCGTGCTTATAGGACTCTTTTCAAACCCAATGTTCATAGAAGAAACTCCAAGTTCTTCACCTGGTGAAGGTCTTTGCATTGAAACTGTCAGCTCAGGGAGGGCAGGACCCGCCCTCTCCACTCGGCCCTACCCTCTGGCAGTGCATCAGCTTGGAAGGACCTGCTGAGCTACACCAGCCTGTATCCTAAACCTGGTCTTGAGTTCTTAGCAAACTGTTTCACTTATCCATAGAAATTCAAGGTAGATTAGAAAGATTTTATATGTTGAGCTAGAGTATTGATTTGGGGACTTTGCACTAGCAACCTGCAAGTACATGTTCTAATCATACTGTCTTCTAAAAACCACACCCAGATTTAAGTAGTATTTGTGGAATGTCTTCAGATTAAAAGGGAATGTACTTTTACAGACATTATGTTTTATAACATGAACAATCTGCACAGGGTCACAAATGGAACCGCCTCACAATTGACAGAAGACAGGTGAGAGGCCTATAGCAACAGGTCAGAAAGATGGTAAGAGTAAAGTTGATTCTCCAACCCCCTCAAAAATTCCTCGAAGGACCAAAAACTCTGAATTTTGAAAGTAAAATACTATCATATAAAGAAATAAAATAAATAATCCTCTTCATCAGGGTTTCAAGATCTGACTCTAGAATTTTTAGCAGGCCATACTGAATCCTAGCACAGAAAAAACAGATGGAATAGTGGTGAGTAAGTTTCAGAGAAACTGCAGTAATTCCTCCACTTGTAAGTGGACATACACTCATCTGTCGAAGGTGAATGTAAACTGCATTCTGGAGAAATTCGGAATCTTCCAGGCTCCGTTTCTTGATGGCAAGGACACAGACAGCTTGGAAGCATGCTTCTAACTGAGTCGCCGGCATTCTTACACTGCAGGAGGAAAAGGAGGACCTCAGTCAAGAGCAGAGATATTCCTGTCGTGTCTCACAGGCCGTGCCTTAGTGACTCAGTGCCCTGAAGCAGCCCGGCCCCAGGCCAGGAACCTCAGCATGGCCCACCCAAGCAGGAAGGGCACTGTGCTTGAGAAAACCCCGATGGGAGCAAGAGGGTATGGTGGGGTTGTGTGAACCTACAAATGCTCACAGAAATACACCTGCATACATTCAAGTAATACAATTAACAGTAGCAGGCTATTTAAAAAAATTTCAATTGTCAGTGGAAATTTTACCATTCCTTTCCTCTTGTCCCCTACACTCTGAGACAGGCTTAGGCTCTCTCACACCTGCAGCTCTGATGCAATAGTTTTGAAGTCATTTTACTTTGCTGCAAGTGTCCTCGCTCCCCGTGTCACTGTGAATGTCCTCCCTAACACACTCAGATGTCTTTCTGGATCTCTCCCTGAGTTCCTTGCTCCTGTTTCTCAGATCCAAAGATAAAGGACAAGACACATGACCAGAAAAGGCACTGTGGACTTGAACAAAGTCCTCTGTGTCCCCTAGATGAGTGCTGCCCACTGCTTAATATCAATTCTCAAGGTTCTGCCCAGGGTGACGTCCAAACAGGAGAGAGTCCTGGGTAATGAAAGGCTGTGTCTCTTGGGCGCGGGGACAGGTGCAGGAGTTGGTTCTGGAACCGGGCCCCTCCCCACCCCTGTTTCTCTGTCTCTGGAGGCCCCTGCTACCAAGCCCCCAGGCTCCCTGATCTTCTGTCCTTCTCTTCTTCTCTACTCCAAGCCCTTTTCCTCTTCCTTTATGCCCCAATTACCCCCAGCTGGAGTGATTTTTCAATCACAATATGTGAAAAGATTTCCTGCACCTTAAAAAGAGGTCTCCAGAGGTCAATGCCCATATGCTGGTTCCTGAAGAAAGCCCCTGGTTAGGGGTACCCTCACCAACACTCACGGGTCATCAGACATGTTACAGGGTCGACCATCCCCAACAAGAGTTTGCTGTGACCCCAGGGCCCGCACAGCATCCCAGATCACAAAAATGTGTTTGGACCACTTATCCGTTATTAAGAAGCAAAAATAAAAATAATTGCCCATGTTTCTTACTAAAATTATTTATCAGGTGGAAAAAGAAATTTTAATAGAAAAGAACAAATTTGACTCCATATTAGATGTGTTCCTTTGGCTTTAAACCTTTGCCCTGTTTTCTAGGCTCAGACTTGCTAACTCTGGACCTTTTGTAAAAGAAAGTTGCCTTTAGCCTGAAATATCCAGGAGAGACTATTCTCCGGGCTATGATCTTTAAGGATGTTAGCTCTTCTGCACTTATGCAGAGATGGCACGTTGCAAAATAGAGAATAAACTTTGTTTTGTTTTTTTTTTTTTGGAAGATTTACAGAGGCACCATGATTTGACCTACATGGACAGCTGCAAGAACAAAGGATTCCAAGGACAAACAATTCGTACAGCAAGAAGTTTGCAACAACCAACCACACCCCCACCCCTTTTTAGTATAAAAGGAGACGGAATTCTGACTAGGGGAAGAGGGTTCTCCAGGATATCAGTATGCCATCTTCTGAGTCTGCCAGCTTTTCAAATAAAGTCAGTATTGTTTGCTCCAATACCTCATCTCCTGATTTATTGGCCTGTCATGCAGCAAGCAGAACGAGTTTGGACTTGGGAACAAAATGACTGCATTGGGGGTAGTATGTCTCCACTGTTTCCTCGTTTCCAATATGTCACAACCTAATAATTTTATATGCTGTTTAACAACACAACCAAAAAACCTATCATGGGGAATAGATTCTACGGAAATAAAGTTATTTCTACTCCTTCAAACCTTTTTTCTTTTCTATTTTATTTTGTTTTACTTATTGAAAAGAAAATAGAAGTGAAATCATTTTATTTCACATATTTTTGTTACAGCTACATATATTAAATACTATAGAAATATTTAAATTGCATTAAAAAATGTTCATATATTAGTATAAAGATATAAACACAATCAATGCGGATTGGGAAAGGAATGGATATTTACTAAAAATCCACTGCACATCCAGTCTTTTACAAGCATATTCTGGAATACAAGCTCTAGAATCCAGGGGTCCCCCACCCCCTTTCTCACAGCCAAGTGCCTAAGTAATCAACAACCAAGGCACCATCATAGAACCACGTGATCAGTATTTTAGGTATAAATGAGGGAATTGGCTCATTGAATTCTAAAATAAAAACCTTAAAATAAATACTGAACATATTTACAAAGTAAATTGTACACAAAAAAGTAGTTTCTTCCCCAAGTTCAGTAAGCTAATAACTGGTAAAGGCAAGATTTGAGTTCATCTGCCTGATTCTAAAAACTAAGGTGGAAATCACATTTGATTGTGGAGGGTCCAGCAGCACAGCCTATCACCTTATCTTTGTTCAGATCTAGCCTTAGACAGCCTGAGACCGCACCCCATTCCTATGGAACTCGAGGGCTAGCGATAACACAGAGGATTTTATATACAGTACATTCTTAGGTCTCATTTATATAAAGTGTCAGCAGATCAGCAGAAAAAACTCTGGGAAATATGAGTGGGTCAAGAGCTTTTTGCTGATTAGAAACTCTATTTATCAGGACAGAGGGACTTTCACATGAGAGGCCACATGGACCTAAACTAAAGGCAGGTGAGCAATGAAAACTAGCAAGACCCTGGAACTCAAGCATGAAGGATACCTGCCATCCCCGACCAAGTTGCCTCTTCGCCCGCGTGGACACGATGGCAGAAGATCCAGGTTCTTGTCCAAGTTACACCATCATGGATTCTCACCCATAAACAGTTACGACTCTATGCTGTCTTAAGTCCTTCCCAACTCAAATATGATGACACCAATATCTCAGCAGAATGCATATGTCTCCACTTCCTCTCTTCTATTAGGAGAATAATTCTGTGGCCACAAAGCAGAAATCCAACTAAAAACACCATGCACGAGGCCAGGTGAAATTCTGCATCAGACACTTTGCTCTCACGCTCAGTGAATGAAAATTGAGAAAAAGTGGTCCTTCTCCCTCTGCAAGTGGGAGGTAGCCTGATTGTGTATGTGCGTGCGTGCGTGCATGTGTGTGTGTGTAAATCAAATACAATGTATTATGGGAGGTGTACAGATTTTTTTTATGTTACTGTCATTTCATGAGGATGAGACAACCTTTAAAGTAATTTGAATCTAGTGTTCTGAGAGAGTCTCAGGACATTTTGGTGGAGGGTGGGAAAGGGGAAAGGAAAGGAGAAAAGAAGTAAATGAAGCAAAGTAGTAAGAATACTGCTAGGGAAAGGCAAGACATTAATTTTGTTCCTACTTGCATCACACACAAATTAGGGACTGGCTTTCCCCCGATGTCTTGTCGAGCACTGAGTTGTAGAAGAAGAGGCGACAGACCATTTCTCACTGAACTTGTGACAGTACGTGGCATCTTATAGACACAAATCATTTACCCTGATCAAACACTCTAGCAGCAGGCCATAATTCTCCTATTTGGGAGACAAGAAAACAGGAGTTCAAAGAGGATATATAACTTGACAAAAGTCAGAGGACCAGTAAACAAGAGAGGATGAATTCAAACTCAGATCTGAATGCAGAGTCTGCCCTTCTCTCTCCCAGGACTGGAAAATCCTTAACACACAGGCTCCCCAGCTCCCCTGCAGTGTTTCTGGCACCAAGCGTTTCCCATGGCAGTGGTCTCCAGTTCTCACAGACACAGCGCTCTGTGCAGCCAATGACCTCCATCGGACCTTGTTAATCTACCTGCCACGCCCAACAGGCTTCACCATAAGGACAGGACAGCTGGCTTTCAAGTGCATACAAAGCCATCCCTGTTCGTACCTGGGCTCTTCTGAGGCCTCTCCAGCCTAAAGGCAGCCATAAAACTGCTCAGAGTTTGTACATGAGCCACACTACCTCTCTCCATCTGTCTCCCCACCTGTACTACTTAACTATGACCATTTTGATAATCTTGGAAATAAATTTTGAAAAACAAAAAAGAAAGGATTCTGGAACAAGTATTTAATACTTACAATTTTAAATGACAATTTAAAAAATGAGTATTTACAAACCTAATCTGCCTTCCTAGGTGTCAGTTTAAACAGTTAAAAAATCTAATAGCAAAAAATTCTCACTTAGAAAATTAACTAAAACATGAACAATAATCTGGAATAAACTCAAAAATAATGCCCATGTTCTACATGGAGAAACTACAGAACTGTATTGAGGAGTAAAGTAAGAGATGTGAATGTAGAGATATCAACATATTGCATGGAGGAAAGTAGTTTTATAAAGATGAAAGTCCTGCTAAAGATAATTCAAAACTTACTCAAAAATCCTATGAAAACCCTTATCTGATTATTTTTTAACTTGAACAAAGCATTTTAGAATTCTTCAGGAATAATCAAGTCATAATACTAGCCAAGAAAATTTGGGATGGAAGAAAAGAATCAAAAAAAATCGCACTGTCAGATATTAAATAAAGATTTACAATATATAAAGTATGGTGCTGGAGTAA